AACTTAGCTATATATTTTTTCTATAATATATACATTTTCCTGTTATGACCCCTAGAGGGTGCTGTTCTCAATGTTACAACAAAAGTCTAAAGTCATAGAAGTTTAGTTAATGTCAAATTAACAAGTGTTTCAGATCTGGAGTTTTTTGACTCTCTTCAATGAAGCCTTGTTCAGTGAGCCTTGAGGAATATATACGTCTTTGGGAACGTGTCCTTGAGAAGGTTTGATGTTCTTGGAGGAAACTCCATAGAATGCTGTGAAAACACATATTTTCTCCTCAGGCTACGAAAAGGTATCAACATCCTGGTCTCCACGCCGGGCCGTCTGGTGGACCATATCAAAAACACCCTGAGCATCGCCTTCAGCGCTGTTCGCTGGCTGATCCTGGACGAGGCCGACAGGTAGTTTTTTCAACTTCACACCTTGACTAATGTAAAATACGTCCGAGTTTTTTTTCCTGGACTGTTTCCTGTGTTTTTTCAGGATTTTGGATCTGGGTTTTGAGAAGGATCTGAGCGTCATATTGAACAGTCTGAACAAGACCGGGCCGAGCAGACAGAACGTCCTGCTGTCGGCCACCATGACGCAAGGTGAACACACTGCCACGCTGACACACCGTACCGTACTGCAAGTGTACAGCATTTGACAATCAATCAACATTTATTTATTAAGATTTTTAAGATTAAGATTAAGATTTTTTTTAAAGAAGTGAACGGTGATGAAAGAGTATGTCAATAAAATCGATCAAAATAAATGTATTAGCCAATAAAATCAGTCGAATTCGTTGTGGTCAGCCGACGACGATTGATTCATTTTACCCAGGAAAAAAAAAATTATCGAAAAGTTTGTTTTCAAATACAGCTGTGATGTAATTTTTCGCATCGTTCGAGTGCTCTATAGCACAGAGCTCCGTCCGACAGGCGCTGTACACCTCCACCAGTGGTGTGACAGCTCTTGAAAATGAACTCCAATTTTGCAACGAATCACTGAAACAACAGCGACACCGACAGTTTTGCTTTAAGTTTACATTTATGCATTTAGTGCACGCTTTTATCCTGGGAATCGAACCCAGGACTCTCTGCTTCCGAGGCATAAAATGGATCTTTACGAAACGAAGCGCCAGATTTCGTCAGAGTGACGTCTGTGTTCTGTTGAAACAGGTGTGACTCGACTGGCTGACGTCTGTCTGAACGACCCCGTCAGCATCCACGTGTCTGGTTCCTCTAACCCCGACTCCGTCCCCGCCGCGACCTCTGACCCCGGCTCGGCCGCTCCGTCGGAGAGCTTCACGGTACCGGAGGCTCTGAGGCAGTTTGTGGTGGTGGTTCCCAGCAAGATCCGCCTGGTGTGTCTGGCTGCGTTCATCCGGGACAAGTGTCAGGTAATGTGGAGACGGGGTCACTACAAAATAAGTGTCTGAGTTTCAAAATAAAAGTCTTAATATCTACAAAACAAAATAGTACATGTGTGAGTCAGAACTTCACAAAGCAGCGGTTGAATGCTAGAGCTAAAGTTTCATTAGCTCATTTCCTCGGGTGTTCTGAGGAGGGGGTCACAGGATGTGCTGCGTTAATCTGCCGTTTCTCCATCGTCCCGTGTTCCAGTTCTCTCAGAACAACAAAGTCATCATCTTCATCTCCAGCTGCGAGGCCGTGGAGTTCCTCCACTCTCTCTTCACCTCTGTCCTTGCCGCAGACTCCGCCCAGCAGAAGTCTAAGACCACTTTCCTTCGTCTGCACGGAAACATGAAGCAGGAGGTTCGAACCCCAGACGTCCGATCTTCACCGTTATTGTCGTTTTTGAAATCCTGCGGCCGCTGAAGCTGTGTTATTTTTTTTTTTTTTAACCAATAGGAACGCTCCGAGGTCTTCCAGCAGTTCTCAGTCTCTCAGTCTGGAGTCCTGCTGTGTACGGTCAGTACCTTGGTCCTCCGGTGTCCTCCGAGTCTTCCACCTGTGGACGTGTCCCACAGCTTCTTAGATGTTGTGTTTGTGTGTTGCAGGACGTTGCAGCCAGAGGTCTGGACCTCCCTCAGGTCACCTGGATTGTCCAGGTAAATATTAACGTCAGTGTTCATGTCCTGGGTTCGATTCCCAGAGGAACTACATGTTTGGCGCCAGCAGGGGGCAGCAGATCTGCTGTTAAGACAAGGATTTCCCAAATATTAGATCAATAAAGTTCAAATTATAATTATTGTTATTATTATTATTGGCAGGTAGAGGTCGCTGTTTCTCACTTTTTATTTTTAATGTTTTTTTTTTTTTTTGTCAGTACACCCCTCCCACGACAGCAGCGGAGTACGTTCACCGCGTCGGTCGTACGGCTCGCATCGGAGAAAAAGGAAACAGCCTCCTCTTCTTGACCCCGGCCGAAACCGCCTTCATCACTGAGCTGGCCAATCACAACATCAGGTCTTTACACGCGTGTGCAGAAAAATAATTAGCACGAACCCCGCGTGGAGTGCTGCTCTTCACCGTGTGGCGTTGGTGCTTTTACGTTTCAGCCTATCGGAGATGAAGCTGCTCAGCATCCTGTCCAGTCTGATGTTGGATGACGCCTACAAGGGGCGGGGCAAGTACCACAGTAAGGTGAGTGGTCTGTTCTTGTCTAACCTGAGCTCCTCCAGCTCTGTGGACCTTTCAGGTAGAGTGTGTGGGGAATTATGTTGAAATATAAACGACAGGAAATGAACAGGAACCTGTGATCTTTTTACAATAGCATCGAGTCTGGAGGTGTAGATTAGTGTAAACAGACCCAGTAGGTGGCAGTAATGTACCTTAATAAATGCTACATTGGTGGCGTACATCATGTCTGCTGCCCCCTTCTGGTACAGTATTTAATTGCTCTGTCTGCCACTGTTGAAGTAAGGAATGAAGACGATATTTTTTTGCTGTAACTAAATAATAATTTCAGATCAATTAAATTCAATTAAATTAAAGTGTCACACTAGTGTGCCGCCGCACAGGGGTTGAGAACCACTAGTAGCCCAGAAGAGTAGCTTTTTTCAGCTAGCTGTGATGTGTCTTTGTCAACCTGTGATGTTGGTAACAGTTCAGACTCTCTCACTGTCGTTGATCCTCTCTCTCTCTCTTCTGTGCAGACGTCGACCAAAGCTCTGGAGCAGGAGACCAGGGAACGGGCCACAGTCCTGCAGACGCACTTCGAGAACTTTGTCCACACGGACGCTCAGTCGGTGCAGAGCGCCAAGAAAGGTACAGCAACTCTCTCTTCCGTCGACCTGAGGACGACCTTGCGTGGTCGTGCCGGTTGATTTTTTTTTAAACCCACGCGTCCTGTGATGTCACCAGCTCTCCAGTCCTTCCTGCGAGCCTACACCACCTACCCTGCTCACCTCAAACACATCTTCCACATCCGCTCCCTCCACCTTGGCCATGCTGCCAAGAGCTTCGGCCTCAGGGACGCTCCCCAGGGTCTGAGCGCCGCCTCCGGTCGGGCGAGCCGCGGCGACAGAAAGGAGCAGAACAAGAACCAGAACCAGAACAGGAAGACGGGCGGTGGAGAGAAGAGGTGAGTCTGTGGTTAGGATTGTGGCGGTTCAAGTCCGTCAGCGAAGACTCATTAACTTTTGTGTTTGTGTGTGTCAGTCATCTCAGCAGGGGTTGCGTATTAATGAGCAGGGAGACAGACATGCCAGACACACACACACACACACACAGCTCCCTTCAGTCACACTTGTCGCTCGTCCTGCGCAGAGTTTGTTGTGCGCTAGCGCGGTTGTTGTTCACAGCTGGTCCTCACAGCAGGCTTGTCTGGACAAGGTCTGACCACACATGTACAGTCACATTGGTCAGTAGAGACATAATTACAGGTGTGTGTGTTTGTGTGTGTGTGTGTCTCATCGGGCTCCGCCTCCTTGGAATCCCACAATCCTTAGGGTGCTGGGTCTGGTTGTGTAATGTTTGCCTTTCAGGTTAACTTTGGCTAAAAAAAAAGTTAGGAAGTGATTATGATTTTTTTATTTTATTTTATTTGAAATAGTCCAATCAATGATTGTGATGGCAAAGAAACTGGATTTTGTGTTTTTGTCCTGGTTAGGTTCTGTCCCAGGCAGAGGGAGGTCAGTCTGATCTGCTCAGAGTTCTCCAGCGGGTTGGACAACGAAGACGCCAAGAAGAAAAGGAAGAAGAAGATGAAGGTGGAGGAGTTCGATCAGATGTCATGAGAAAACGAGGAAAAATTGGGAGTATCGGGAAACATTCGTCCGTGTACTGAACCGAACTGATGACAGAGTTCATGTTAGACGGTCATTTCTCTCAAGATTGGCCTAAACGAGGCTAAAGGATGTTTTTGACCAAGTCGTGGCCAAAATATTTGCTGTTTTATAAGAAGAATATTGTTTTTCTTAAACAGATGTATAAAATGACTTAAGGTGTTTGAAGACAAACACTGTTTAAAATAAATCATTCAGTCCAAACGGGCTGTGTCTTAGTGTTTTTTCACTTGGTAAACGACATTATTTTGAACGGAAAATAAAGAAAACTAATGAGGACAGTGTTTGGGAGATGCTAACTTAATTTATCAACGCATTATTCGGCTTATAAAAAATATTCCGGCACTCAAATCAGCGTTTACTCCGTCGAGGAATCCTCCAGAAGCAAGTGAGGACAACAACCAATCACAGCTCTGTTTGTTGCCTGGAAGGCGGGACTCATAAACGCATCCAATCGCAGCGAACGCCAACACCGGAAGTGGAATAAACCAACGACAATATGAACTGAGCAGCGGTAATACTGCGAGTTTTAAATAGCGAAAAACCAAAAACTCTGATAGAACAACGATGTTTTCTTATTTTACTGTTAATATTAGGAAGACAACATTTGAGAGATGAAAAAAAAGAAGTATTATCTTCAGACACGTACGAACGCAAAGGTAAGCGGTAACATAGCAACTAATCATGCTAAGCTATCAAGTTAAAAATGGCTCATTAGTTGCGTTTTTTGTTTTGTTTTTACCTTTTTGTAGTTCTATAAATGTATACGTTAAGGGGAAATATAATTTAATACTGTATAATTGATTTGAACATAGTACAATGTGTTTTAATAAGTAAACCTGTCGTCATTCAATAGCAAACTTTATTTTTATTTTTTGCATTTTAACCACACAATTACTTTTCACGACACACCAAAAAACTATTAAACAACACGAAATTTTAAAAACAGAAATACAAAATTCAAGGTTGGATTATTTTTGAATTCATGATTATAAAAAGTTTTTGAAAAGTGGCGGCGATAAACAAGAATTTAAGAGATTTTAAAAGTCACGAACTTTAAAAAGTATTTTTCTTCCTCTCCTCCTCCAAACGCTGTTCTGACGTGACGTCACAGCTGTTCGACCAGCCCAGCGTCAGTGTCCTCTCACTGCCTCTGATGTCCAACTGTCTGCATGGACGCTCGTCAGTGTTGGGCAGCAGTGACGGGTGTGTGTGTCCTCCGTATAAGTACAGATCCACCGTGGATGTAGCTGCAGGACACAGGTAAGGTGTAGGCAGGAACAACCTGCGGGTCTGGGACAGCAGCTCCAGACCTGCAGCTGACTGACGCTTCCACTTAGTCCTGACGTGAAAGACATGAGAAAATGTCTTTGTGTTACAGCGTGAGGACATGAAGAGTGGAAAAACTAATAAAGTACAATTAGTAAACTAAAGCAGAGGCTTCATATGGTCCCCTAAATCATTGTTTCCCAAAGACTGGGTCGTGACCCCCAGGTGGGTCGCAAATTTATTTATTTTTTTTGGGTCGTCTCGCATCATGTTTCTCAGGCGTTTATGGTCATTGCAACAATTAATTGGTGCTTCCTGTTAATTAAAATAAATGGGAAAAATAAAATTTTAAAAAAATAAAATTTAAAAAAAAATTATATATGTCGCCACTAAATATTCAGTAATATTTTTGCATGAATTATTCTTCAGTATTTACAGCAAATACAACTGAATTATTCATCAGACTATTTATTATTCATGAGGAAAGCGTCATACATGTGGACTACAGAGACACTGAAGCTCTGGGCCCCCTTTTTAATGCGTTCAAAGTTTATGTTTGAGTTTTACATCTCACACAACATACGTTGTAAGACCTTTAAGTTCGTAGTAGGAAGTGGTTCCTGC